ATTATTATCACTAGTAGCATATATCTTGTTAGCGTAGTTGGACAAAGAATTGATGATAACACTAGCAAATGCTAGCAAGTAGGTAATAGAAGTAATGCACTTGAAGATTGTCATGCCGTACACAAAGGCTCCATCAGTTTCCAATAAAATCAAAAGAAGTTTTAATTAAAAACTCCGACGGGCTAAATAATCAAGTAAAATCAAACAGCAGTTGACAGGACAGTTCGTAGTTGGCTTTTGATAAAGCGACCTATGAACCTATTGATCACCCTTTCACAAGAAAGTAAATTAAGAACCTAATAAAGAGAAGCTTGGCTACTTCGCATGACTTAATATCAAGATAAAAGAAATCTCGTGCGTGATACGCGAAGCCTTATAGATAAAATTTAATCATTAATCATATCAGTATATAATAAACAATACGGTAAGAATATTTGGTATCGACAAAATATAATGGTAATCAATTCAAAATGTCATTAACTCCACATCAATGAGGCATAAATCCCAATAGAACTATAGAAACCATGATGTTTATACTTCTTCGATTCTGTTTTACTAATAAAAATATAGGTTTTACTGTAATAAAATAAATATCAAATATAGCCAATTAAGTATAAACTTGAAATCATTGATTAAAATTAGAGTATGAGCTAGCAAGATATATAGGTGTCATTTAGAGCGATGTCACGATCTTTAGAAATCTAGAAAAAATATAAAATGATGCCATACTAAACAAAATCCCTAAAGCAAGCATTCAAAGGTACATCTTTAATATATAATGATTAGTAACGATGGCATAATGAGTTACGCTAGCTAACTGCTGAACAGAGAAAAGACCATCTAGCCTTTAAAGTCTAGAGGGTGAAGCATTTTATAAAATACCATAATTGATGGGAGGTGAAATCAACTCTGGCTACGATAATCATTTTGAGATGTCCGCCAAAGCAAATTCAACAAGAAAATCAGGTCCTGCTTTCAATCCATTATTTTACGTTAAGGAATGTCTAAGATATTGTTATGCTAATTGAATATTAACAAGATAGATTAATTGTTTCTGTATGAATATGATAAACTAGACGAAACTCAAAAGTAAATGTATACAAATGGACTTACTTCTACAGAGATTGGATGGGAGCTAGACCTTGAAAAAGAGACAGGCATTGATATATTATCGTCAATTGTAGTATTAGTGCTCTGACCGACGTGAACTACAGCAGCTAGGGTCCTCTTGTGTGCAGAACCAAGCTCATGGTGATTCGAGGAAGGTAGTTCTGAATCGTGAACTTTAGAGAGATCAAATAAGGGAAGTTTAAGAGCAATAAATGTATCTGATGAAAAAGCCAAAAAAACTTAAATTTATCAAGATTAAGCAAAAATACAAATCGAAATGCTTAAATTGAAAGAATGGGGACAATAGTTGGATTATGAAGGATTCTGACGAGTTAGCAAGGGAATAAAGCCACAGGGAATCAAATTGTTGAGAATTTAATCCTTAAAATCTGCTTATAAACCGAATTTACTTTATCCGTTGGCAGCAATATTTTTTTTAAAATGAAAAATTGATGATCATATTAAAGTCAAAATACTATTTATTAACCTAGTTAGAGTTCAAATAAAATACTAAGGGACTCATTTTCACTCTAAATCCAGGGTAATGATAACCTCAGGGAAGATTCAGAAAAGACCTGGCCTGAAGCTAAAAATTAGCATTTTTAATCAAGAAAAGCTGTCAAATAACCTGGCAAAATTTAGCCTAAACGAATAATTGACAATGCTTTTCGTATGCCCGGCTATACAGAAAATAAAATGTATAATATTTTAATAAATAACCGCCATTCTTCATACAAATACAGTCTAGTAAATTATCTAGAGAATTTAAATAAAGGAACATATGCGATGTAGTAAAATGCGTTTAGTAGTTAAAAGAATATTTCCAAAAATTGGAGAAAAACAATCAGCGTTTCGATTTGGAAGTTACCATAACTAGAATACTGGACATTAAAAGTTGAAGAGTAGTTCAGAGATTATTTATGATTCTTCTGACCTTTGCAACCTATTCAATACAAATGTCCGATTATATTTGCCTCTGAAATACATACTGGGCGGAAGATTTGGTCCCCTTAAAATTAAGAATAATTCAAGCTTATCAAAATATATCGGGAATATTAAAGAATAAAGTCGTAGAAGGCTAAAAGGTGATGATATTCAGGGTCGTTAGAACACTATAGTGGAATTAAAAGATTAACAAGGTGAGATTCAGTCTTATATATTGCCATTAGAGAGCACTAATTACAAAAGCAAATAAACAAAACTCTTGTTCATATAGATATATTGACGAGGATTCATTATCAAGGGAATTAAGTGCTGAAGCATGCAGATGATCCTAAATACCCTTATAAGTAGTCGTTTGACAGACAAAATGTGCCAGTTGCTTGATAGTGGAGATTGGTTTATGCCAGGAATTTCTGACAAGTAAAAACCCTAATAGTAAACCTGTAGTTTTGCAACCCAAAACAGTGTAGGAATATGGGGTCAAATCATGGTGACCTTTAATTTTTCAAAACTGTAGATAAGGAAACTTCTCACTACAATAAAATAAATGTATTGAAGAAGTGAGTGACACGTTAATATAGTCAAAATAAAGATTGTATTTTCAAAGAGCAGCAAAACGCAGCGTCCAAGGAATTGAGAAGGCATCTACGAAATATTGCTGCTGACCGCATTAGGCTTAGTTAATTCTTTCTATCAACTCTGATTAATTGGCCACTTGGAAAAACTCAACTCCAGGGCAGCTAATAGGATTTCAGGGCAGTAAGGAAAGATAAATGAAATCAGCATTTCTTAAGACACCTTAAAGGCTTTATAGCAAGTGGATCCAAAATGAAAATATGGGCAGTTCATTGCAAAAGAGGAAAGGATTATGAATGAGATAAACTTCAGAGGTATCGGTAAAATAAAAAGTGATAAATCACAAAAAATACTAAATAGAAAAACAATAGCGTTAAATTGCGTCAATATTTATAAACCAAAAGACGGTAATCACTATGCCATGCGGTAAATCACAGCAGTAGTCGTTTGTATAGAACACTCTATAGAGAAATGAAAGGGCTTTAGTAACTATAGAATCAATTAGTTTACATAAAATAAAGCGCAAAAAAACTTCGAACATAGTTTAAATTAATTTATGACCCTCTCAGTCAAGGGACGTAAAATCGCTCAGTTTCAAAAGAATAATCTTGAGATTTTAAGGTCACAATTCATAAACAGCTATGGTATGGAGATGTGAAAAAAAGTAATATAATGTGTTCTGTACGAATGAATTTGAAATGAGGCTAAACGTGCTTAGAAGCAAACAATTTAGGGCCAAGTAGTAGTACTGAGAGCAGGGAACTGGATTCCCGCAGGATATGCCAATACAAAGTGTTTCAATCTCACTATAAATATCACATTATAGTGAAATCAGATTTCCATTAAAATTCTAAGATTGTTGAAGATAGTGACCGACTAAGCACCAAAATATCGTTAAAAAGCAAATTTATCCAGAAAAGCATTACATTGTAAGCTTTTGTATTAGATAAAATTTCACAGGTGATAATTTTTTAGTAAAACTAATAAACTGAAAACCTTCAAGTATTAGAAGTTGCTGAAAAACACTGACCTTTTTTTCAAAATTAAACAAACCTATGAACCTCAGAAATAATCACCTCAGCGATCAAGATAATAAAATTATAATCATTCCCAGCAGAGAAATTAAGGTAAATCAGTACTATGCGATCGATCTGCCTCTGCGGCTTTATGTATAAGTTAAAATAACTAAAAACTGTAGTCGCCTAAGAAAGTGATGTAGGAGTGATAGCAAATTTCCCACATTGAAATGAGTAGACCTCATAATGCCTAGTTTATCATTCCGAGTTGATTGCCAGACTCTTATTACCCCCCTAAACATGATTCGAAACTGAGACTTGCACATCAGGGGGGGGCAATTATAAACATTATAGTTAAGAGTATCAGTAGGTTAAACAGATCTCGTTTTTAAGACAAGCTAGGCCTTTGGGGAAGCTAAGCTAAAATAAATTAAGCATCTAATTATTTCACTATGGCAAACTCCAGTGTCAATCATACATCAATTTAGGCGAACAAAGATGAATAAAGCCATCATTCAAGAACATGATATTTTCGAAACATATCAGCATGATAAGACACTAAAAAAGAAATTTCAAAGTAATTATCTGTGCAGCCAATGTAGCTGCACATAATCTTTTCATAGTACTTTAAAAAACTTAACAGCAAAAATCAAATGACCTAGCCGAGAGAACATCACTATCGGAATGAAAGAAAAGGAGACAAGAGCAGGAGCGCATGTCAACCGTGGTGGCACATTTACCTGATCGCCACGCTGCAGTCTTTGCGATGTCTCCATCAGCCAGGCCATCTACACAAACGGGCGGTTGTCTGACCAATTGCCAAGGTGGAGACCCGGATAACTCAGGGCATTCATCTGATGGTTTGTAAGTATCGTTACCGGGACCGATACTCTGGCCAGTTGTTCGGCATGAGTCGGCAATGCATTTGGCAGTCGGCGAACTATTGCGAAGGGGAGAGGCAATAGGTGTTGCTGAGGCACAGTGAGTGACAACCCTATTACCTGGACGGCGCAAATCAATCACTTCTTAACATAAAAGATAATAATGATAAATAAAGTGGTAAGTGGGAGAATCGAAGGCATAAACAAGTATTCATATTTACTTGGGAAATGTTAGATAAACATCAAGAACACAAAAAATGAAAGCAAAGTGAATGCAAAATTAAATCAGTATCAGTGACCACAACAATGAGCTTAAAAATCAGTGGAACAGAAGATAGAAAAAGAAAAAAAAACATGGAACAGGTGAGATTTTTTAATGTAGCTAAAATAATTTGATATATGGACCACGTGCACATTTAGGCCTTTGCAAATAATAAGAACTTAGCCACCTTAGGTCACTGCATGGGGGTCAAGGGCTTAAAATGACATTTTTCCTAAAATGATATGAGAATGTCTGACGATACTATTTAATTTAACCTGGCACTTCTTTTCAAAAAGATTTCTCATCTATGGTAGACCGTAGTTTAGACTTTATCTAGATTTCCTCGGCACCACCAATGGAATTCCAAACCTGGACGCGTTCATCGTGATTCCAGATCCGGTCAAGGGAATAGATGAGACCTAGGCGGGAGAGACCTTTTAACACGGAAAACAAATACATCCATGCGAAAAGTAGTAGCATGCTGGTATAAATCTCAACGAATTTAAGAGCAGGCATTATGAAGTGAGGCATCGGCTTTTGCGCACATTTCCTCTTTGGTAAACTAGCCAAATGCGTAAGAGCTGAGGTGTCATTAAATCTGCTTAGATGGAGTGATACAGTAAATCATATCTTAACATATGAAATGTTCTTGTGAATATGAATAGGTAAGATAACTTTCGTACCTACACCAAGTAACTTTTTAAAAGGCCGTCTAATTTAATCCGAATTCGAAGTTTCTGTGTAGAAAGAAGTTAGATTAAATATGTTCGACTCAGAAGCTCTCACCATTGACATTTTGATGTGATAGGTTTACTCTAGAATTTCGGGTTGGAGATTCACTTGTCAATAAGGCCGGAATGGGTTCGTGATGAAAGTCGCTTTGTTGACGTGCTAGGTGGTGATGCAGCCTATGGTTCCTATTTAGATGTCGTCTCGGCAGATGACCTTGACGCCTCGGCCAATGAAAAGTATCGTTTTGGCTCGAGGTCAATGACTGTAAGAGATTCTCAAGTTGGGGATAGCATTCATGTTGTCGGGATTCATGGCTCCGTCGGCAGATAATCAGCCCCTTGGGCTGTCCGTTCGGAATATGGCTTCGCCTTTGCTTGTGTCCAGTTCGGCTTGACTGGACCTCATCCAGCAGCTGGTGGCTAGTCTGGTTAGAATGACATCCAACCGCAATGTCATTTGGGGTGCGAGACTTGTCACGACTGCCTTCAGTATGTATGGGGAATTGTAGCAGAGGAGAGAAGTGATTATATCGATGTGGAGGACTGCGTCCCCAAGGATGTTTCTGATGATGTAGATCGTGCCCTTTGCGCATTGAGCATTGCCTATATAAAACTTGGCGACGATGGCATTTAGAATAATTCTGCTGCAATGAGTCCTGAGTATGAGGTTGGGTAGAATTTTGGCGTCGACGACAATGAGTCAATATCCAATTCCTTAAACAGGCGATGTTATGACTCAGGTAACGTGCAGAGGTTTCGCGAAGGCCAGAAGGACTGAGCTCTACGGGGAAACCTGTGGATGTAGCAAGTTGGGCGTGACAGCCGACAAAGCTGGTGGTCAGCGGGCTGACAAAAATTGGGTAGCCAATTGGCTGATCACAACTTGAATTGACCAGGTTACGCAGGACCTATGATTACAAGCAAATATTTACTTTATTCATGTATTTGTCTATAAAAAGTGAGTGAAGAAATAAATGTATTCAATCGATTCGTAGGCACAAAAATACCATGCAACTATTTAGAAATTAAATACTTACTGAAGGTAAACAAAATCCGTTTCTTGTGTATTTAGTAACCAGTTCTTGATAGCTAGTAAAAATATTTTACTTATAAGAAAAACCTTCAGCGATA